GATTCTGTGTTAGGCATCTCTACAACAACTTTAGGAAGAGATTTCCAGGAAAAAAACTAAAGGAAATTATATGGAAGGCATCCAAATCAACTTACTACCAAGCTTGGAAAAGAGAGATGAAAGTTATGAAACATATCAATGGAGAAGCATACAAGCACATGATGTCTACCCCTCCAAGGTTTTGGAGCAGATCATACTTCAAGACTCATAACAAATGCGATGCAGTTCTCAATAATATGTCAGAATCCTTTAATAGTGTTATTTTGGAGTCAAGGGCCAAGCCATTAATAACCATGGTGGAAGAAATTAGGATATACATGATGGAGAGATGGGCTACAAACAGGATGAGGTTTCAGAAATTGACAGATGTAGAAGTGTTGCCAAACATTATGAAAAAGGTTGAGAAAACAAGTTTATTCACAAACATGTGGCTTCCCATGTAAAATTATTAAAACAAGCATTTTTTATGTGTTAGAATGTCTGACTTTGGAATGTCCATTTGATGTCTTAATTTGGAATGTCCATTTTTCTGTGTTAGGATGTCTGATGAGCATATGTTTGAAGTGAGGCATCTGGAAAATTCTGCTAAAAAATTCACTGTAAACTTGAAGGAAAAAATCTGTTCATGCAGAAGATGGGAGCTAACAGGCATACCATGTGTTCATTCACTTGCAGCAATCAAGAATAGGAACCATAGGATTGATGAATACATTCCTGATTATTACAGGAAATTTAGATATTTGCAAGTGTACAAACCTGTCATATTCCCTGTTAATGGCTCAAACCTATGGGTTACAACTGAGTACCCTGATGTTATGCCACCCAAATTCAGGAAAATGCCTGGAAGGCCAAAGAAAAGGAGGAATTTAGAGCAAGGTGAGCTAGATGGTACTGATAAAAAGATGAGAAGAACGGGATTCATTATAAAGTGTAGCAGGTGTAAGCAGGTAGGTCACAACAAGCTTACTTGTAAGGTGCCTTCTACTAGTCAGACAACTACTACACAAGTACCACATGCAGCTCAACCATCTGTACCACAAGCACCATCTGTACCACAAGTACCAGTGCCTTCTCAACCATCTCAAGCATCTGTACCAGTGGCATCTGTACCAGTGGCATCTGTACCAGTGGCATCTCAAGCATCTAAGTCAGTTCCTGGTCAAGCTTCTCAGCCATCTCAATCTAAATCATCCAAAAAGTTGTCAGTTAGAAGGCCAAATGCACCATTTGTCCCACCAGGTCCAACAACGAGGTTAAAGGCATCAAGAACTGTTATAGGTCCAACAACAAGAAGGACAACACCAACTAAAAGAGCAGCACCAAAGTGGAAACTTTAGTTTACTTTTATGTCTGTTTTGGATTAGGATTGGACCTATAATTGTTATGTTGTTTTGTTAACTTGTAATATTATAATTGGTTATGTTAAGTTGTTTTGATCATGTAATATCAAGCTATTTTGTTTTTTTTTACCTGTAATATCAGGCTGTTTTGATTGGACCTGTAATATCAGGTTCTTTTGTGTGCAACTTAGTGGTATCCACCACCTTATAATTATATGTTGTTACCTATCTTCAATTGCTACAGTATGTTACATTGATCAAAATGCTACTAGTTACAGTATGTTACATTATGTTTTACATTGATACAAAAATGCTACTAGTTTTACAGTATGTTACATTGATCAAAATGCTACATTGATACAAAAATTGCTACAGTATATTTTACAGTATGTTACATTGATCAAAATGCTACTGGTTCAAAAATTCAAGTTGATACAAAAATTCAAATTCATAATGATACCATGTTCAAATTGAGACTGTGTTACATATGATACTCTATTACATATAATCTCAATTCAACAGTCTATTACAACATCATCCAAATTACCACAACTAACATAATAAAGAAGAATCTTTTCCATTTTTTCTGAGAATTCATCATCTTCTTCATTTCAATTTGTAACTCCATTATCTTATGTTTCAGCCCATCCTTCCTTTCCTTTAGATGATGTATCTCCATCTTTGCTCCATCAAGCTCATTTTGCAGCTTCTCCAACCTATTATTCTGCTTCTTTATAAACTGATCCTTCTCATCCACCACATCATCAAAGAACCATTGAAAGTATCCACACCCAAATTCAGATGAACCCTGTAATGGTGACATCCAGATTCATCTCAGCTATTGCAGGAACTATCAGAACAAGAATATATGAAAACCCATTTTAATTTCATGCTTACCTTGTAATGACGACAACCCCAGAATTGCTTCCCAAAGTTTGTGACAGTGGTAGCCCTTCGAAGAACCGCAGATTCTCCACAACCACATATAGGTCTCCATCGCAACTTTCCATCTAAGCTTCCATCTCTATTGCAATCGTACGAAGACCGGATCTCTGATGATGCTTCCTTCATCATATTGAGGGAATTTCAAATTCAAAATGGGAAAATTGAGATGCAATGTGTGAACCCTAGAATTTGAGGATTTCTGGAAGCAGCTTGAAGATGGTGTACATAACATTCCATGTCACCTGCCACGCATGCAAACCAAACGTCCGTTTGTGCCTTTTGGACGGAAAGGACTCCTATGGTCCTTTTGAAAGAATTATAGGACCAGTTTGACACTTTTTTTAGATAAAGGGCCAAAATGGACCTTGGGATAAACTTAAAGGACCAAAAAGGATATTTTGTCAATATTATTTTAGTTAAAACTATTATAATCAAATTGAATTTTAGATTGAATTTACCAAATCGAATCTGACTACGTACATATAATATTGTTTCGTGGAAAACTAATCAAAGCAAAAAGTTGCTAACAACACGCTAGGCCTAGCAATTCAAAGTCATTTTTTTAGAAAAATAAACGGAGGAATGTAAATAAAAAAAACTGTATAGATTTTGACACTTAATATGATTCTTTATTCTCTTTTTTATTTTTTATATTACATAAATTTTTTATTATTAGATTTTTGGTTAAATTATTATTTTATCTTGTTTTATAATATTATTATTAATTATAAAATAAATTATAATTTAAATATTTAAAAGTTGATTTAAAATAAACTACAATTTATTAAATTATTTTAAATTTATTTAAAATTAGAACTTACAATATATATTTTTATCTTTTGATTTAAAGAATTTTTTACTTAAGAAATACATTATATATGTTGAAAATGAATCGAATCGAACTCGCCTCAACTCGATTTTATTCGTTAGCAATTGATTTAGTTTAAACCTCAATTTGAGTTCGACGCGAACATTTTAAAGCTCAAACTCGGTTCGTTATAAGTTCACGAACAACTCAGTTCGACTCATTAGGTTCATTAAGTCCAACTCGTTTGTTTCATGGACTTAAAAACTATTTTTTTAAGTTTATTTTTTTTTATATTTGACATTTTAAATAAATGTTATTTAAAAAAAATACTAAAATAAAATAAAAATTATCAGATTTGAATTTAACTTTTCTCAAAAATCTACTCATTCAAAAACTACATAAATTATATGATGTTGATTTTATTTATATGATGTTAATTAAGTTGACTCATGAACTTAATAAATTAAATAATTCAAGTTCAACTCATTTAATTAACGAATTTAATTTTTTTATTATATTTAAACTTAATTCAACAATTTATTTATCGATCAAAGTTTTAAACTATTTTTGAATTGGTTTGATTAAGGATGCACACACAAAAACTAAAAATACCATAGTATTTCAAACACCAGATGAATGTGCATGGAGGAGGTTCACAACACAGGACCTTAAATAATTAAGGCTCACGGTTTTGTGTTGTGCTTATAAAGTTGTTGATTCAATTTCATCTCCAAGACATGGCTAAAATGTAATTGCATGAATAATTTGTGCCTGTGATAAATCTTTGATTGAAAATCTGATTATTTCTTTCTTTTTAAATACTTCATGCACATGTCAATCACAAAGCATCCATACTCACTCTCATTCTTACTGCCCCTAAGAACATCACAAAATTGATGAGTCTGAAAAGAAAAAAAATTAGGTAAGAGACAAGAAGATATTCATAACCATTATAAAAATGTTCAAAGATCTCCTTCTCACACCCACCACAACACAACAGAGAATCTAAATTAAATAATTGATAATAAAAGACACTTTTAAACAAATTCATAATAAAAGACACTTTTAAGAGAACCACTTTATCAATGGAATTCTCTATTCAATCTTTGTCTTTGAACAGTTATCAGCCATAACAAAAGAGGATGAAAAATGATACTTTATTCAAAATGTGTTTCCATTAAAGCTTGCCCAGTCCTCAATAAGTAATCTGTACAGTAATTTAACTTAAAAGAACAAATAATTTTATGAAAGGAACATAATTTTATACAGGAATCAATAATGGGCATGCATGCATTCAGTGACTTGCGTCACTCGAACAGCCAGCTAACATGTTCATCGTGCGAGTGAGACTTGTCCAATTGCTCACCAGAATTTTCTTTTCTTTCATTTGTAGCTCATTCTACTGCTTCAATTTGAGCACCCTTTCCATTATCATCACAGGATTTGCCCGGGGTCACGGAGCTGAAAGTCTGTCTTTCAGCTGAGCACATACTTCTGTTTTCAAATTCAGAAAGTAAGACCCTTTAGATGTGTGTAGGAAGGATCTTGTCTTTTCATAGCTCAAACAGTCAAAACCTGTGTGGTTAGTCAGGATGAGTAACCAAATAGCAATTGTACACCTCCGGCCTCCAACTTTCGAATCCTGAAGTATCTCTCGTCTGACAACAAATTCCACTGTCTCCCGTCTTGCATCGAAAGCAAAATTCTGCTTAGCATATTGAAAGATTTCTGCTGAACTATTCTTTCAAAACATGCATGAATCACTGCCAGGATGCAATAGGGAAGTCAAATCCAACCCCTCCTCCCAAAACGGTGTTGTAAAGAAAAGCAAATAGCAGGAGAGATTCTATTCTTAAAAAATGTTGAGGATATGGTCTAAACTTCGATTAAAGTACAACCTCAGAAACTCATTCATGATTTCGAGGGGCACTAACTTCTTCACTACGTTGCAGCAACTCCTCATAAGCTCTCACAGATTCGTCAGTAAATCTCTCCATTGCCTCGAAAATCCGCTGCAAACTAGCCTGTAGATTACTGCTTTTGTCACTCTGATATAAGATATTCTCAGAAACCGAGAGACCTTTACCTTCCCCGGATGGCATGATTAACTTCCGCTCTAACGCCTGAATTTGCTTTTGCAGCTTCTGGTCATCTCTGTCTATATTTCTCACTTTTCTCTCAAGATCCTTGTTCTGTACAAGCTGTTGATGCAATTCTAGCTTATCTTGTTCCCAGATATGAAGGACACTCATAGTAAATACATGCATGGTATCAACAACTTCCCTTTCAGATATTCTATCCAAAGCTTGAGACCACTGATTACATATTACAAATATTTGGGGAGCACCGATCCTACCAGGGGAGAAAGGGACTATGCCATCAGAAGTTTCTTCGGGTTCATACAGGAGACATTTCAGCAGCCAATTATTCAATGCTCTGACATAACCTTTCTGGGCACTTATCCAGCCTGCAAATTGGAAAGTCCAATTGATAAGCTCTTGTTCGAGCTGCTTGGTAGCTTGAAGATGACTATCACCGCTTTTCATTCTGGATGCAACGGAACTCAGGATTCTGGCTTCTCTAATTGCTTCGCACTGATTATGATGGCATTCAAGCATGGATTTCCACATTCTGTTAAACCTGAAAATAAGTATGTTATATATACCGCATATATACCAAATGTTGTACACAAACACCTCAAAACTTTTAGTGGTTGAATGAATATCACTTGCATGTCTAGTCATACATATAACATGTCAGCAGCTTCAAAGAAAATGAGAACAATAACTGAATTATGTCTTTGGATGTCCATCGATTTGATCAAAATCACATTGAAAACCCACTTCAACTAAAAAGCTCTAAATAGTTGTTTAATTATTTTTCACGTTTTCTTTGCATTGGGATGTGGTTTTCCACCGATATTAGGTTTTCTAAATTCTAACATGAATCCAAACAAACACATACGAAGACAAAAATAAAATGAATAGAGATAGGCATGTGTGACAACATTACGTCTAGTTAGTCAAATAAGGACACCAGTGGTGACAACAAGGAATCAGGTACATTAGGTAATTGGAAGAGCATCAAAAGAGTCTGAATTCAATTGTCCACTCCAACCCACTTATTCAATAAATGATGTCAGAAGATGGAGAAGTATTTGCTTCTATCAGAAATTGCTCGTAGACTGCAGATGGTTAACAATACTAATTTCATAATGGTTATCAAAGAATCATGGACATAGTACATCAATACTTCAAACTCATTTCATGAGAGTTAAAATAAAGAAGAGATACACATACACTGATGGAAAAGAATCTGAACAATCATTCCATTAAATCTTTCTCTAATATTTTATGGGGTCGCGCACATAGCTCAGTTGCTGGAAGAAAATTCAAACTACTAAAACTAAAAATGGAAAGTACCCCTGGAAAGAGTATCATGCATGACTAGCTCATTATACAACGGAAACATAGCCGTAACTCTTACGAGTCACCAATATTAACTAAACATTGTTTATTTTTATCATAATTGTGAAAAGTTGATAACTACAAGCTGAATGGTCAAAATTAGTTTTTAATGAGGTATTGTTTTACCAATACCTCAATGATAATGATTGATTTCCAAAATTGCAATTATATCAAGCAAAATTATGTAGTTGATAACTACATAACATAACCTTTTTCTAAATATGAACAATAATATTAGTACAGGGGGCATTTATAGTATAGAGCATCAGGAATAGAGAAAATTTAAGGAACTGGTACGAACAACATTGGAAAGTGTTAAGTTGACATACCCCTGGATTAATCCCTTCAGCTGTGGCCACAGTTCTTCATCCCTTATCTTATTTATCGTCATAGAAATCTTGTCAACAACATTGATTGCCATACTTATTTTTGTGGACAGATCCCTAATCACAGTTCGAGTCAAATCAACTTTATTAAAATCGGCACCCCTTTCATCCAATCGCTTCAGTTTGCGACACTTTCTATCATGCACAACCCGCATCTTTTCCTCTGCCTGCCAACAAATAAACATTGAAAAAGCCTTGTTTGTAAGAACTCATAAATACTTAGTAGTTGTCAATGCGAGATAGTTTAGAATACACAAGTGAAATGAAACAGCAGCAAAGCAGATAAAAAGCCTTGTGAAGGACAGGATAGCTAACAAAGAGAACATTTGAGAGTTGAGACAACAAAACATTACTTAATTTAGTAGGGTGATTGGATTTCATACTGAAAGAGCAAAAAATCAATTATTTCTCTCTTGATGTATTGATTCAAACTAGCTATTTTAGACTAAAATGGTTGGAAGTTGGAATCAGATTGGTGATTTAATTTAGTGATAGATATGACACAACACACCTTAACTTCATTATAGAGTTTCTTCTCCCAGAGATATAGCTTGTGGAGCGTAGAGGAAAGATTTCGTGATCTGATAGTGAGTTCAACATCAAGATCCGTGTTGTTAGGATCGGTGGATTGGGCATTTTTTGAAGCAGAAGACACCACAGACAACGAGGGTGCAACCAGATGTAACATCTTGGAAGTAGCTGTTTCATATGTACAAGTCAAGTTAAGTCAAGTCAAGTCAATTAACCGTATCTGTAATGAAAAATGTATCATCTGAAAAATTGTGAGAAAAAATGTATAAAAATAGCAACCTTTGTGATGATAACGAAGCTTTCCAACTTCAAGGATATCCGCGATATGTGAACCGGAATCAGAAGCCCTCTGAAAAAGAATCTGAATTTCCTTGGCAACTTCAAGGGGATTCCTGGAACCAGGTCGAAATGCGGAATTAGGCTTAGGTTTAGGCTTAGGTTTATCATCATCATCAACAACTTTCTTATCCATCACATGAACCTCATATTCCACTTCAGAGTCATCCTCTTCATCATGAAGATGACCACCGTGATCATGAGAGAGATTAGGAGGGTCAACAAGCTTCTGATCTCCATGAACCTGCTTAACAACTTCATCCTCATCTTCCAAGTCAGGGATCCCTTCTTCCTCCCTCACCTCCTTCGAATCACGGCTCGGGCGACTAGGCGTGGCGGACGGCGTGTAATTAGTCTGAGGATAGTACTTTTCCTCACTGTCAAAGAAATTGAGAAAATCCCAAGTTGAAGTTCTCGGAGGAGACGGCGGAGCCGGAGCGGGTTTGGAAGAAGGAGCCAGAGGAGGAGGTGAAGATCCATAGAAGGATGAAGAAGAAGGAGGATTTGGATATCCATAGGAGTTAGTATTGTAGTTGTTGTTATATGGATATGGCTGTTGATACGGTTGCTGATATGGTTGTTGTTGTTGATAAGGGTTGTAGAAGGATGAAGATGATTCACCGACATAAACAGTTTCGTTGGTCATGGGTCTTTGTTCATAGACGATTGAAGAAGCAGGAGGAGGCTTGTTCTTCATGAAATTCATACGAAGATTGTTATGATATTGATGCTGTTGTGGTGAATCGTTGTAGTAATTACCGTTGTTTTTGTGAGGAAGATGTAAAGGAGAAGGAGAATGAGAAAAATCATCGTGTTGTTGATCTCCGTCATCGTCGTCGGAATCAGAGTGGAAATGAAGATGAGAACCGGAATCAGAGTGAGGTGGGGAAGGAGAAGAGTGTTTGGTAGCGGTGTGGTGGTTTTTAGGAGGCGGTGAGGCGGCGGCGGCGGCGGCGGAGGAGGAGGATAAAGCCCTATCGTGTTGGATAAAAGCGTTCAAAGAGTGGCCAATTGCGGTTAAGGAATTGATGTAAGCGAGGTGAGATGCGGCGAGGGAGTAGCGTTGGTGGATGGCTTCGTCGAGGAAGGTGCAGCGTTCGCGGCAGAGGGCGACCGCCGGAAGATCGTCCAGCTTGGAGCTGGTACAACCCATAAGGATTTTCCCGAATTTAAATTTTAGGGTTTGAAGAGTGATTGAAAATGAAGATTGGTGTTATTATTAAACACGAGGAGATGAGATGATAGTGGAAATGGTAGTACAGTTACTGGGTGTCTCAGTGGGGTGGGAAAATGAATGAGGAAGAGAATCTTTTGCCAGCATGGACTTTTTCGTCTCTTTCTATCTTTTCCATTCCTATTTCTCACTACTTAACTTTAACTTCTATTTTAATTTCACCCCAGTTTTTCTTGGTAGCTGAAACATATCAATTATTTTTTATTATTATTTTTTTGTGTTCTATGGTTAGGTAAAGTCGCAGCTAAAAAAGAATAATACAAAAAATATTCTATTTTGGAAGCTTGAAACGCATGCTTCTGATCTATTTTCATTTACAGTCGTGCCTCTTTCTTCTTTCAGTTAAAAATAATCAAATCAATAATCATTTTTTTCATGTTTTTTAATGAATAATTACACATAGGTTAATTGGAATTTTGTTTCACTTTCCAGTTGTTGTTTTGATAACATGTTTCCTTTTTCAGTTGAAACACGTAATTTAGATGTGCCAATCTTATCGTTTAAAACATTTCAATATTTTACAATTTAACAAATGATTCACCAATTATAGTTCAATCAGAAATGGTATCCAAGAAAAGTTCTATCAAACAGAAAAAAGAAATCAACGTTTACTTGATTATTAAATTGGTAAACTATAATTGAACCGAATAATAAATAAAAATTTTAAAAAATAAACGAAAATAAACAATTAAAAATAAAAATCAATTGAATTAAATTACGGTTCATGTCAATTGGATTATTATAAAATTCTGATAAGTTCAGCCAACAAACTAGATGATTCTCATTCAACTATTTGAACAAAAGTTTGATCTAGTTTTATAATGTTGAAATTAACAATAGGATTCAACAATATACACAAAGTTTGAAATTTTCAAGACATTTCAAAATTATAAATAATGATAATAGATTTAATCATCGAGTGTGTAATTTGAAAATCTTTCATTTTTGTATTATATAATTGATTATATCTATGACATATTTGATTAAGAATATTAAAAAGATTATGAATTATTTTTCTTTTTGAGTTAAATTTCTTATATATAATAAAGAGATTTTTTCACTATTTTCTGCATTATAATTTGATTTTAGATTTTTATCTTATTTTAACATCTCTCTCTCTTTTAAAATATTTGTTTGGTTTCCGTGATTAATCAATCAAAATCTCGTTCTTGCTTCGTGAGCAATCAATCAAAATCTCGTCCTTGCTTCGTGAGCTTAGCTTGTGAAAAACTCTACTTGTTTTGAGAGATCATCCTTTCAAAATCTTTTTGTTGATTGTATTAAGGTTTATGGGTATAACCTACCAAAAGCTTAAAGTATTTTATTTGTGGAACTCTTAAGAAGTTTGTTTCTTAAGGAGAATAGCATACTAAGAGAACAGTCTAGACTCTATAAATCATTGTGAAATCTCTCTTAACTCTTTCTATTTACTTTCAACATTTACTTTTTCTATATTTTTGTCTTCTATTTTGCATTGTTACATTTGTTTTAACTTGTTAGGGGGAAATGTTAGGAGCATTGATACATAGTGTAGGAATAAGCACCTTTGTGAGAGACACACCACTTATCCACCTAAAACCTTAAGGTGATAGGTGAGTGGGTTCTCCCACTTATATATGCTTAAGTCTCCACATTCCTATCCAATGTGGGACATTTCTCCACTTACTCACACTTGCTATATTATTCCAACACTCTCCCTCAAGTGTGAGTCCATAATGCTCCCCCACTTGTACCGTCGTTGACATCTTACAACGAAACACCACTTTCTAGATGCATTTCGATACAAGTCTCTTCCGATCTCTTTCTCGAACCAAAGGCTCATGATTATGTGTTGTTTCTTTCGATTTCCTGTAAATCTTCGACCATAGCTAACTTCCACTTGTTAATCTTCAAAGCTTCGTTATAGTTGATTGGTTCAGGACCTGCAAGTAAAGCAAAATGAGCTAATTCTCCATCTGGTGTGATTTCATCATCACCCACCACTTCATAATCATGAAGTCTTGTTGGAAGAACTCTATTTCTTTGAGGTCTTTGGCTTGTTTCAGCCACAACCTCTTCTACTTCGACTGTGACGGGAGTGTCAGCAACTGCTTCTTCTTCGACTTCGACTGGATTCTCAATAATTCCTTCAATTGGATTCTCAATAATTCCTTCGACTTCTACTTCATTAGTTTCTTCGTCGAAATCAAAGTTCATTAATGGCTTGTTGCTAGAATTCCAATCCCAGACAGAATTTTCATTAATCACAATATCTCGACTCAACACAATCTTCTCATTAACTGGATTGAATAGTCTGTATGCACCAGTTTTATGATATCCTACCAGAATCATAGGTTCACTATTGTCATCAAGCTCCATTCTCTTTGCATCAGGAACATACTTGTAACACATAGAGCCAAACACCTTCAAATGACTTACTGATGGTCGTTTTCCACTCCACACTTCTTTAGGAACCTTGTTCTTTAATATCTTAGTAGGACACTTATTCAAAATATAAACTATAGTCGAAACAACTTCTCCCCATAAAGACTCTGGCAAATTCTTTTGCTTCAGCATGCATCTCGCCATATCTAATATGGTTCTGTTTCTTCTTTCATAATTCCATTATGTTGAGGTGCATAAGGAGCATTTACCTCATGATCAACACCATGTTCTGCACAGAAATCTTCAAACATCTTGGATGTGTATTCGCCATCTCCATTTGTTCGCAGAACTTTGATCTTCTTCTCACTCTGGTTTTCGACAAGTACATTGAATCTCTTAAAGATTTTGAATACTTCATCCTTTCGTTTGATCACATAGATCCACAACTTTCGACTAAACTCATTAACAAATTAAAGAAAATATATGTTTCCACCAATTGTATGTTCTTCGAATGGACCACATACATCTGAATGCACCACTTCGAGAATACAGGATGATCTCATTGACATAGTTGAAACGAAAGAATTTCTGGATTACTTTCCCACTAAAAAACCTTCACAAAGTTTTTCAGGCATCTCAAGTCTTGGAATACCAGTAACCATATCTTGAGTAATCAGTTGATTAAGTGATCGAAAGTTCAAATGTTCAAACCTCAAATGCCACAACCAATTATCCTTGTGGTCGACAATAGTTTTCAAACTTCGAACTTCTGTCGAACTGATCATAGTCTTAAATGTCCTATTCTTCGACAATGGAGATTTTAAGACCAAATTGTTCTTGGTGTCGAATAATTTCAAAACTTTATCTTTCATGACAACTGAGAAACCTTTTTCGACTAGTTGTCCAACACTTAGCAAGTTGCATTTCATTCCAGGTACATAGAGCACATCTTTGATCATAGATTTCCCTCCATTACTCATTTGAAAGACTATGTTTCCAGTACCTTCTGCTTGCAACAAACTATTATCATCAAGTTTTACCTTGCTCTTCTTCGACTCATCAAAATTTGCCAACCACTCCTTTCAACCGGTCATGTGGTTCGAGCAGCCTGAGTCGAGAAACCAAATCTTAGATTCGACATGGTTATCTGTAACTGCATCCATAACCACCATACCACCTTCATAATCATTTGAATCTTGGCGTGCAAGGTTCGCTCCTTCGTCCTTGCCTTTCGGTGTACCAAAAATTCTTGACCAAGTGTCCCCATTTTTCACAGTTATAACATTGCATACCTTTCTTATCTTCTTTGTCCTTTCGATAGTTTCCTCCTCCCCTTTTCGAGGATTCAGAAGATCTATCTTCTACCTTATTCTTATGGGGATTCGACCAAGACTTCTTGCCATGAGTCTTGTCGAACTTTCCTTTGAATTTGTTGGAACCACCATACTTTTTCCATAACTGAGCTTGTAGTGCCTGTAACGAGTCCTGAACTCCTTTCTTTTCGATAACCCTTATCTCATGCACCTCCAACAAACCAACCAAATATTCCACTTTAGTAGTTTCAAGATTGTTGGATTCTTGAATAGCTACGATAACATGATCAAAGTGAGAGGTTAACATTCTCATTACCTTCTCAACTATCATCTTATCAGTAATGGTTTCACCACAACCCTTCATGAAATGGACGAGTTTTTGAATCTTCGACACATATTCTGCAACTTTTTCATCTTCTCCCATCGACAATAACTCATATTGTCGATGCAAGGTTTGTAATTTGACAACTTTGACTTTCTCACCTCCTTCGTAATACTTCACCAGAATGTCCCATGTCTCCTTCGTTGTTTCAGCATGAGAGATTATGTCGAAATTAGCAGCATTAACGGTCGTTTGAATGCAATAAGCAGCCTTGCAATCTTTCTTCTTGACTTTGTTGTGGGCTTTTTTCTGTTCGTCGGTTTCATTTGAAGTCAATGCAGGAACATCGGTAACCACTTTTAAGATTTCATGGAAGCCAAACAAGGATTGCATCTATTTTTTCCATTGGATCCAATTTTTACCGTCAAGCATTGGAAGAGAATTCAGAATGCTCTTATCACTAGTCATCTTCGCAGCAGTTGATTCACTTGCCTTGGAAACACGATCTCTGACGTGAAATTCTTGAAAACTTGATCAAGAACAATAACCGGAAGCTCTGGATACCAATTTATGGGGGGAGATACTAGGAGCATTGATACATAGTATAGGAATAAGCACCTTTGTGAGAGACACACCACTTATCCACCTGAAATTTTAAGGTGATAGGTGAGTGGGTTCTCCCACTTATATATGCTTAAGTCTCCACATTCCTATCCAATGTGAGACTATTTCCCCACTTACTTACACTTGCTATATTATTCCAACATAACTATATTAACACAAAATGTTGTTTTTAGTAATAAATTTAAAATTAATCATGATTTTTAAATATCAAAATTCACCCATCCATATCTTGTATTTTGAATCACTTATTAAACACATGTTACTTTCTTTTGACATTGTGGATATGTTTACACATA